GTGCTTCCCCAAGAAGCAGGGCACGTCGCATGGCGTGCAGGGCAAGACGGCGGACCCAGGCTTCATCGTGCACTGGGCGTTTCCGCCAGGATTCAAGAAAGAGTCCATTTGGCTGGCCTACTACGTCAGCCTGTCACGGCCCCGGAGCTTCGGCCAGCTCTGGAGCCGCGGCTTGCCTGACCGGAGCATCATCGAGTCAGGCCCCCCAGAACAGATCGCGAAGGCCCTCGACGAATTCTTCGCAGACAAAATTGCCGCGACAAAAATCGCCTGCGCGAAGGCCCGACAGGCGCTTGGCTGGCCTGCGCGAGCTTGAGGAGCCCTGAGATGCAGCCTGCTTTGTGGCGGTGCTGTTCAGCCTGGCCGTCTGCATTCGCGTGGTTCTTCTCAGCCTGCATTCGCGCGGTGCTTCTCAACCTGCACTCGTGCGCAGCCGTGGACAGTGAGATACGGTGCTCCTCAGCACGTTTCGTTCGAGGCCGAATCCATTGATAGCAGCGTCTCGTTTGGACTTACATCCATTGATAGCAGCGTCTCGTTTGGAATGAACGCAAAAACAATGTGCTGTCTCGTTGATAGCAGTGCCTCATTTGCAGAGACATCCACTATTGATAGCAGCGTCTCGTTTCCAGACGCATCCGTAGTTGTAAGTAGTAGTGTCTCGTTCGAAATTAAATCCATTGATACTCGTGTCTCGTCTGGGGCGGAAGCGATTGATAGCAGCGTCTCGTTGGCACCTGCACCCCTGCGTAGCAGCGTCTCGTTTGGAATGGGCGCAAAAAGAATGCGTTGTCTCGTCGATAGTAGTGCCTTTTGCAGACACGTCCACAATTGATCGCAGCGTTTCGATTCCAGTCAAATCCGAACATGAATCTAAAGAAGAATGCTTCCATATATGCTCATACACATGGCTGTTTGGTTGCTTTGCTGGGATAATTTCGTCGTTTGCGAGGCCGCGCGCTCGCGGCCTTGCGCTCGGCCACTCCTGGCGCGACCCTCCCTGGCCGACTTCCGCTTGGCTCTAGACCGCGGATTTCCAGGCCCAGGCCGGCGCCGTGTCCGAGCTCGCCCGCGGCAAGCTCATCGGCCCCTTTCTCGCCGCGCGCAAGCTGCTCTTCTCCCGCGAGCGGACGACCCACATATGTCCATTCGTTTTGGCCGCCCTCTCTTGGCCTCGCGGGGCGCGCCGTTGAAGTGGCCGACAATGGCCGCGGCGAGATCGCAGGGGTGGACCTTTCGGCTTCGAGTCCGCTCCCTGAAGATCGTCGTCGAGCCGCCGATGGACGCGCTGCTGGCCCTCCTCCTCTCTCTGGTCGTGGACGTGGCACTGATGGCCGCGCCAAATGCGCAGCTGCTGGGGCTCGTGGAGTCAGGGCGCAAAGTCACGAGATAGTCCGTTGGGATGTTGTCTTGGGTTCAATCGCGTCGCGTTTTGCTTGAGAGCTACATCCCGTGCCATCCCATGTGGGCGTTGTCTCGGGTTCCTTTGTCGCTTCGCGCGTGGCTCTGCATGAGGTTGGTCGCGCGCTCTCCTCGCGCCCTCGCAGCGCCCCTCGGTCCCCGTGCGCCAGTTTCCCATCGGCGTCGCCCAGAGCGAGCGCACCCCGGTTGCCTCTGGGCACTGAGCCGGCTGCCGCCCTTCTTCTCCGCCGCGCGCGCGGGCGGCTTGCCCCCCGGGCTCGATTGTCGCGCGGGCCGCGCCCGCGGCGCCCACCACCGCGACGCTTCAGCGCCAGCCGTCGCGCATCGGCAGGCCAAACGCCCTACCGCCGCGAGGCAGGCGCCTGGGGAGGCGCGCGCGGCAGGGCGGCGCAGCGCCGCTATCTCGCGCGCGCGCCTGCGTCTGCAACGCCTCGAGCACCCCTTCTGCCGGTCCACCGCCGCCAGCCCCGCGCAGACGGCGCGTCGCCCTGCCCGCCGCCGCATGCAGATGCTGGAGTGGATGCCCGACCCATCTCGCATGGACTTCGACGCTCGTGCTCGATTTCCTCAGGTGGTCGCAGACGAAAACGCCCGGCCACGCTGCACATCGCCACGCGCCTTGCCCGAGCCCGATCCGCGGCGCGCGCCGCGCGGCGCATCCTGGGGGGACCTGGGCGTTGACGCGCTCGAGTCCGACACGCGATCTACGCCGCCTTCCCAGAGTCCGACGAGTCGCCCAAATGATCATGGCTACCCGTCGCCCGCCGACGTAGATTCCCGGTCATGGGCGCCGTCGACGACTCGCTGATCGACGACCTCGCATGCCCCCCCGCCCCCCGCGCGATGACGAACGCATGTCAGACCACGAGGGTCGCATGTTCGACCGCATCTTCGGACCCTGTGCGCGGCCCACAACCGCCCTGGGAGGAGGAAGTGGCGTCGGCGGCGCGGCTGCGCTGCTACGTCGTCGTGGCCCGCGGGCAGCTCTACGGGCCCTGCGCCGCCTGGTGGCGATGCGGACGTTCTGGAATGACTCATTGAACTTCCCGCTGTCCCTGATGCCCCACAAACGCCCGCCGAGGGCCATCCGCATTGCCCTCTTCAACCGCCTACACATGCTGCTCTGCAAGGTGCTTTCGACGCCCTTGCCTGTGGCGCTGGCGACAAGGCGACCCTGGACTTTTTTGAGATCGCCGCGCCGGTGGACATGAATCATGGTCGAGGAGAGCGATCGCGACGGGTGCGACATCGGCCCCCTTGCCGCCGTCTCCCGCGACTTCTGCCCGCCGGGCGTGGATCGTCTCCTGGGGCCGCTCGTCATCGAGGGGCCTTTTGCTGGTATTCGCCATTGAACCTGGCCTCTCTGCCGGCCGTGGCGAGGACGACGACCACTACGACGACCTCTTCGACTCCGCCTTCGTCGACCCGGGCAACTCCGAGAGACTGAGTGGCTCGGCGATCCGGCGCCCGCTGCGTCCGCAGGCGTGATCGGACCGCCTCTCAGGACGTGCGTTTCTCCTTATCCTCCTCCTCCTCCTCTTCTTCCTCCTCCTCTCGTCGCCCTTGCCGTCGTCGTCGTGGCGGCCCGCCGCCCCCCCGCCCCCCCAGCCCCGCACATAGCAGAAAACCAAGTCCCCGACAGCCGAATCCATCGATGCTCAGCGGAAGCGCTGGGACCACGAGATCGACAAATTTTTGGGCACCATGGGCATGATTGACCACAACAAGAGACTCCCCGATGATACTGGCTGCGAATGGTGGTTTGCACTGGCGCACGATCGCTACACTTGGCAGGGCTTAGAGGACAAGTTTGTACGATTCGCCGTCGACCAGCAAAGCACGGACGACGCGAATTTAGACCCCCGGCCCGTCCGCCAAGATGTGAAACCGAACCAGACCGAACTGGGCATGCACACCAATTTCAAGTTTTTGACCTCCACCTTCGGACCCCCAACTCTCGCGTCCACATCCCGACTTCCAGCATGCGACATCCGATGTTTCACTTTCACCTCCACCTATCGACCTCCAGCTTCTTCCAGTTCACCATTCCTGCCTCCAGCATCCAGCATTCCGACTTCCATTTCCCCCTCCACCCGTCGACTTCCAGCGTCCAGCAACGCAGCACTCCGACCTCCACCCTCCAGCAGCATGTGACTTTCCGCCGCCACCTCCACCCGTCGACCTCCGGCGTCCAGCAGCTCAGCACTCCGACCTCCGCCCTCCAGCATCCGACTTTCCACCTCTACTTCCACCTGCCGACCACCCAGCGCTCCGACTCCAGCATCTGGCTTCCGACTCTCCATTTCCACCTGCACCGCTTGACCTCCGGCGTCCACCATGTCATAACTCAGCGCCCCGGCCTCGGCAAACAAGGACTACAAGCACTGAGGGCCTCGGCCCCCCCGCGCAGGCCCTCAAGGGCCCCGCTCCCGGCGGAACCGCGCGCTCGCCTCGCCTCGCCTCGCCCCCAGGAAGGTCAATTGGGGGGTGAAGATGTGAACCTCAGGGGCAGTATGTTTAAGCCTTCAAGATGTGTTCGTAGCCAATGGGGTCGGCAGATCGCGCCGCATCGCAAATGCGTCGGCCATGGGGCTCGATGTGGGCTCGAATTTTCTCCATGCTGGCGTCGCCGAGTCACCGCCGACGTCGCCGATGCATCGTCGACGCATCGGCGAGTCGGGGTGATCCTCCGACCCCATCACTTCGGACCCATTTGGGGGGGCTTCTACTACAGGACCGGCCTGGGGCCAAAAGGGGCACGACAGTGTGCATGTTTTCACTCCCCTGACCTATCTGAAAGAAGGAAAAACCACCCAGACCAGACAATTGGCGTTTACTAAACTGTCTTGGGCGTTTACTAAACAGCCCTGCCCTGCTCGATTCCTTCAGTAGGGGCGTTCAGTGAACGGCTTCGCGTGTCGGGGTGGTTTTATAGGGGTGGATTTTTTGCCCTCTACTATCGCTCCCCAGTCGCTTGAAACAGCGCCCACTGGCCTCGGGCTGCGCACCAGGCAGCCCGCCCCGGGGGCAGTCCGGCTGGGCTGGCCTTCGGCAGTCCCCGGCAGGGCATGCCAGCGCCCCCCTTCGCTGGGAGGTTTCGGTGTGTCGAAACGTTCGGCGTCGGCCCTGCCGCAGTTTTGGATGGCGCGTCGCTCCGTTGGTTTTTGCGCGACGCGCTTCGGCGCGACACGCTATCCATCTCGCGGCACGTTGGCGTCCACGTTCCGGCTTTTGCTCCTGGCCTCCCGCCGCCACGACACGCGACGCAAGCATTCCCGATAGTAGGGAAAACAACAACACCACGCTGTCTGGTCGGCCAGGGAGCAAGGGAACTCGGCGAAAGAGTTCGGTGCATCGACGCCCCAGCTCCGCACAAGTTTGGCAGTTGGGTTGTTTATGCACCGAGCCCTTCGGCCTCCCAAGCGACGACGTGGTGAATCCACCGAGCCATTCCCAGGCGTTCCGGGACCTGGGGTTGCGGGGTTGAGGCCCGTTCGGGCCACCCTTGCGCTTGCTGAGGCCCGCCCGGACTGCCTCCAAAGTCTGCCTGTGCGCCAATCCGAGCCACTGCCACAGAGGTCTTCGTGGACGGTCAGGCCGTGGCGCTGTACCGTTTCGGCGGCCGCGTCTTCGCCGTGGGCGCCAGGTGCCCGCACCAGGGCGGCCGCCTGAGCGACGGAGAGGTGGGCGACATCGAGGACACCGCGAGGGGCGGCGGGTGCCGCACCGCCTACGTGACCTGCCCCGTGCACAAGATGCAGTTCGACCTCGCGAGCGGCAGGGTCCTCCGCGGGAGCTGCGCGCCCCTGGCGACGTACAGCGTCCGGCTAGCCGAGGGCAGCCGCCCGGGCGTCGCCATGGTCGAGGTGGGCTTCCAGTCGCTGGCCGAGAGCTACTTCCAGGGCGACCCTGGCGACGGGGCCTGGTGAGAGGCTCGGTCGCGTGGACCTGTGCGGCGGCTCCTTGCTCGCCCAATCCCTCTCCCTGGAGGAGCAGCTCCCCCCTCTGTCGCACCACCGGGCGCGTCCGAGTCCGTATGCCCGGCGGTTCGCTGGATACCTCTTGGGGTCCGACGGTCCTGACGCTAATAGACATCAAACAGCCAAACGGCTGGAGGACGGGGTGCTTTCAACATGCGGCTCTCGCATCAGCGCCGCGCACAGCCGTGGTTTCGAGAACGCGGCTCTCTGTGCAGCGCCGCGCACATCGGTTGTCAAAGGGCCAGACAGCTACCCGGATGAAGGTTTTTTCCCAACCATCTTGTGGTGTTGGGTTTTCGTTTTGAAGAGACGGTCCCCGCGTTCCTCCTCTCCTACTCGTCCTCCTCCTCCTCCCCCTCCTCCCTCATCCCGTCACCTTTTTCATGTTTGCGCACCCCTCATCCGTTTCGTGGCCCCATAGGGAGCTCCACCGAAGGCTCCAGTGGGGGTGCCCGCATGCGGTCTCCCCACTCAGTGCAGCGTCGTGGCCCCATAGGGGGCCCCACTGAAGGCCACAATGGGGGTGCCCGCATGCGGTCACCCCACTCAGTACAGCGGTTCGTGGGGAGCTCCACCGAAGGCCCCAGTGGGGGTGCCCTCATGCGGTCCCTATACCCAGTACAGCGCTTCGTGGCCCCATAGGGAGCTACATTGCAGGCCTCAAGTGGGGGTGCCCGCATGCACTCCCCCCACCCGGTACATCGTTTCCTGACCCCATAGGGAGCTCCACCGAAGGCTCCAGTGGGGGGGGGCCCTACCTAGTACAGCGCTTCCTGACCCCATAGGGAGCTCCACCGAAGGCCCTGGTGGGGGTGCCCGCATGCTGTCCTCCCACTCAGTACAGCGTTCCGTGGCCCCATACGGAGCTCCATCGAAGGCCACAGTGAGGGTGCCTCCATGCGTCCGCCATCCCCAGTACAGCACGCTGTGGCCCCATAGGGAGCTCCACCGAAGGCCTCAGTAGGGGTGCCCGCATGCGTCCCTCCCAACCTAGTATAGCGTTGCGTGGCCCCATAGGGAGTCCACCCACGGCACCAATGTGGGTGCTCGCATGCCCCCGCCCACCCAGTACAGCGTTTCGTGACCCCATAGGGAGCTCCACCGAATGCCCCAGTGGGGGTTCCCGCATACGTCCTTCCCACCCAGTACAGCGCTTCGTGGCCCCATAGCTCCACCGAAGGCCCAAGTGGGGGTGCCTCCATGCGTTCGCCACACACAGTACAGCGTCAACAGTTCGTGGCCCCACAGGCTCCACCGAAGACCTCTGGGGGGGTGCCCGTATGCGCCCGCCAAACCAAGAGCAGCGCCTTGTTGTCTCATAGGGAGCGCCACCGAAAGCCCTGGTGGGGATCCGCATGCGTCTGCCACACCCAGTACAGCGTTGCGTGGCCCCATAGGGAGCTCCACTGAAGGCCCCAGTGTGGGTGCCCGCATGCGTTCGCCACACCCGCAGCACAGCGTTTCATGGCCCCAATACGGAGCTCCACTGACGGCCCCAGTGCTATCGCCCGCATGTTTTCCCCTCACCCAGTCACGCGCTTCGTGGCCCCATAGGGAGCCCCAACGAGGAAGACATTCACAACTGCGGTATTCACAACTGCATATGGACGGGTCCTTCGCAAGGATAAGTTTCCCTGCGGCCTTTGCACCAGCGCCGCACGCACTCGTTCCAAAAAGTATTATAGGCTCCAAGCGTGAGGGCCAGTGGCTTCCAGACTGCGGTTCTAGTCGAAGCGGCGCGCAAATGTGCTGTCAATGCTTCCATCAGCTACAGGAGTGGAGGCCAGGCCGTTTTCAAAACAGAGCTCTCGCTCGACATGTCCTCCGCCTCGAACAGAGCAGCATTTACACTGACGGAGGGCGCTCCCTTTGCGATGCGGGGTTCTCGCCTGATATGCTTGTGCCGTTGCACGGCTGGAGGGCCGAGCCTTGCAAAGCAGGGTTATCGCCGGACGATTCTTTGAATGCTATCTTCCCACGCCCTGCTGGGAGATCGGGGAGGGATCCCTTGCAGAACGGAGTGCCCCATGAACGGCAGACGCACCCCGGGCGCTTGTCATTGTGGGCGCTTCTCGCAGCGGACAAGGATCACTACATGGCTTTTTGGACGAGATGGTGCATTGCAGCATGCTTGATGCATCGCGTGTTTACTCCAAACCCCCCTCCTCTTTTGCCACCATGTGCTGTTTTTTGTTGACTGCCACGCGCTTCGCGCCACCCGGGCTGTTTCGGGACGGTGGTTGCTCATCGAGCCATGTCTTTTTTTCCCCTCGGTTGGAGCAGAGCAGCTCGGGCCGAGCAAGGACGCGCAAGACGGCAGTAGCCATAGGCAGTTGGTGCTTTGAGCTCCAGCTTAGACGCGCGATGCAGATAGCCTGCGCCTGCAGAGAACTCCTTTGAAGCTGTAAAGCAGAGCTTGCCGCGCACAGGTTTAGCAAGATACGGAGATACGGCTTGCGCTGGAAGCAAGAGGTTGCCCTCGCGGCATGTACCCCGAAGAAGCCACTTCTGGGCCCATGAGTTCGGAGCAGCGCCGCATTGTGATTCCAATACCTCTTACTCCCAAGACGCCTTGTATGGTCGTATCGCCTATGCTTACCACGCGTGCCACACGTTCTCCCACATTCCTGCACAGATGGGCCGCAACTTATGGCATGCACTCACACAGTGTGAGACCCCGACTTTCAAACGGCGCGGGATTTGGAGCCGCCTTGGGGTCTGATGTGGCCACGCATTGGTTCTGGCCAGCAGGAAGGGGGAGGCGAGGTTCGAGGTTCTGGGTTCGAGACGTTTTGTTGATGTTGTTGCTGTTGTTGCTGCTGTTGTTGTGGGTGCCGATTCAATATTAATTCTTTACGCTTCGCGTATCCCCACCAGCCCATCTCACAGCAGCAACTCTTGCGAAGCATGCCGACAGTCGTGTTTTTCAGGCGTGTGTCCGCTTGGCCCCGCATATCTCCCCTGTTCCTCCTTCCTCGCGCCTCCTTGTACATCCTCCTTGTGGGGGGAGCGGGAGAAGGACGAGGCGGAGGAGGAGGGAGAGAACGCGCTCCTCGTGATTTGAGTCGTTTGGGGTTTCTCGTCCTGGTGTAAGTCGTTCGGGCCCTTCTTCCTGGTGTGAGTCGTTCGGGCTCTTCGTGGTGTGAGTCGTTCGGGCTCTTCGTCCTGGTGTGAGTCGTTCGGGCTTCTCGTGGTGTGAGTTGTTCGGGCCCCTCATCCTGGTGTGAGTCGTTCGGGCCCCTCCTCCTGGTGTGACTCGTTCGGGCTCCTCGTGGTGTGAGTCGTTCGGGGCCCGCGTCGTGGTGTGAGTCGTTCGGGCTCCTCGTGGTGTGAGTCGTTCGGGCTTCTCGTGGTGTGAGTTGTTCGGGCCCCTCATCCTGGTGTGAGTCGTTCGGGCCCCTCCTCCTGGTGTGACTCGTTCGGGCCCGCGTGGTGGTGTGAGTCGTTCGGGCTCCTCGTGGTGTGAGTCGTTCGGGCGCCTCGTCCTGGTGTGAGTCGTTCGGGCCCTTCCTTGTGGTGTGAGTCGTTCGGGTTCTGCGTGGTGTGAGTCGTTCGGGCCCCTCGTCCTGGTGTGAGTCGTTCGGGCTCCTCGTGGGGCCTCTTAAGGGCCTCTTGGAGACTCTTGGGGCCTCTTGGGGGCCTCTTGGGGGCCTCTTGGGGGCCTCTTGGGAGCCTCTTGGGGCCTCTTGGAGCCTCTTGGGGGCCTCTTGGGGGCCTCTTGGAGGCCTCTTGGGGGCCTCTTGGGGGCCTCTGGGGAGCCTCTTGAGGGCCTCGTGGGCCCTCTTGACGCCTCTTGGGGGCCTCTTGGGGGCTTCTTTGGGGCCTTTTGGGGCCGCTGGAAGGCCTCTGGGGAGCCTCTTGGAGGCCTCTTGGGAGCCTCCTGGGCGCCTCTTGGGGCCATCTTGGGGCCTCGTGCGACCTCCTCAGAAGCGCCAATGGGAGCTGCCCCCTGGAAAGGACAAAATGAGCCCAAAACCTTCGTAAAATCAATAATTCTGCTATGAAGGAAGATGTGCGCGGGCCCCTCAGGACGCCAAAATGGGGCCACAACCGTAGTAAAATCAATGATTTTGGCTTCAAAGAAGGGCAGAGGGGCCAAACTCGGTCCCCCCGTCGGGGCCACAATCCTCGTGAGGGTCGTCGTTTTTTTTACCCTCCCAGGAGTCGAAAAAGACCCCCCTGGCCACCCGCGGGAGCCCCTCTCCAGGCCCAGGGGAAGGGGGTAGGGGGAGGGGTGAACCCCTCCCCGAAGGGGAAGATGGGGGGTTGAGGACAGAGCGGGCTCTCTAAACCACTCACGCCCAAAGGGCTGGTGGGATTCCTAAACACTTCTTATTGTTGGACCCCCTAGAGGCGCCCTGGCGCTCCGTCGGCGCTGGCTGCATCACGTTGAGGCGTTTCGGGGGGTCCCAGTGGCAGGGTTCGCATGCGGTTCCACCCCCAATTTCGGCACACCCCTCACACGTTTCGTGGCCCTATAGGGAGCTCCGCTGAAGGCCCCAGTGGCAGGGATCGCATGCTGTTCCACCCTCATTTCGGCAAACCCCTCACACGTTTCGTGGCCATAGGGAGCTCCGCCGAAGGGCCCAAGGGCAGGGAGGGTTCGCATGCGCTTCCACCGACATTTCGGCACATCCCTCGCACGTTTCGTGGCCCCATAGGGAACTCCGCCGAAGGCCCCAGTGACAGGGTTCGCATGCGGTTCCATCCCCATGTCGGCACATCTTTCACACGTTTCGTGGCCCAATGGGGAGGTACGCCGGAAGGCCCCAGTGACAGGGTTCGCATGCGGTTCCATCCTCAATTTCGGCACACCCCTCACACGCTTCGTGGCCCAATAAGGAGCTCCACCGAAGGCCCCAGTGGCAGGGTTCGCATGCGGTTCCACCGCCCATTTCGGCACACGATTCGCACGTTAGGTCCCATAGGCAGTTCCGTCACGTTGAGGCTGCATCACGTTGAGGCGTTTCGGGGGGTCCCAGTGGCAGGCTTCGTATGAAGTTCCACCCCGATGTCGGCACATCTCTCACACGCTTCTGGGCCCCATTAGGAGTTCCACCGAATACCATACTCACAACTGCGGCATTCACAACTGCATATGGTCGGGTCCTTCGCCAGGCGAAGTTACTGAGGACCTGCGATCCCGCCTCGGGGCTGCAAGCGGCCCCCCCTGCAAACAACAACGCTCCCGTTCGATACGCGTCTGCCTCCATACGAGACATCCCGGAGGCCCTGAGGCTTTCCTAGTCAATGTTGAGCCTGAACTATAGGAACATTAGCCTGGCGAAGGACCCAACCATATACAGTTGTGCTGAATATCATCTTCCCCCACGCCCCCTATGTGGCCGCGGCTTGCCGCCGGAGCCCGACATGCTCAGGAACACGTTCGTGGCCGTCTTCGCGGGCGCCGATGACGACAAGGACGGCGTCCCTCTGACCGAGGAGCAGAAGCAGGAGAGGGCTTTGGTGCCATGAGGGAGGAGGTGCCGGTGCACGTCGAGAAGGCGAAGTACGACGCCCAGGCGCGGTTGTTGAAGCAGCACAACTTTTGGGCCACAATCCTCGAGACGGGTGTGCCGACATGGCCCGAGGTCGCCGTGCGAACCCTGCCACTGGGGGCCTTCGGTGGAGCTCCCGATGGGGCCACGATCCTCGTGAGGGGTGTGCCGAAATGGCCCGAGGCCGTCATGTGAACCCTGCCACTGGCGCCCTCGGCGAAGCTCCCCATGGGGTCACGATCCTCGCGAGGGGTGTGCCGAAATGGCCCGAGGCCGCCATGGGAACCCTGCCACTGGGACCTTCGGTGGGGCTGGGGCCGCGATCCTCGCGAGGGGTGTGCCGAAATGGCCCGAGGCCGCCATGCGCACTTTGCTAATGGCGCCTTCGGTGGAGCTCCTACGGGGCCACGATCCTCGCGAGGGATTTGCCGAAATGGCCCGGGGCCGCCGTGCTGTCTTTGCTACTGGCGCCCTCGGTGGAGCTCCTATGGGGCCACGATCCCAGTGAGGTGCGTGCGTGCGTGTGTGTGTGTGTGCCGAAATGGCCCGAGGTCGCCGTGCGAACCGTGCCACTGGGGGCCTTCGGTGGAGCTCCTATGGGGCCGCGATCCTCGTGAGGGGTGTGCCGAAATGGCCCGAGGCCGCCATGTGCACTTTGCGAATGGCGCCTTCGGTGGAGCTCCTACGGGGCCACGATCCTCGTGGGTTGTGTGCCGAAATGGCCCGAGGCCGCCATGCGCACTTTGCTACTGGCGCCTTCGGTGAAGCTCCGATGGGGCCACGATCCTCGTGAGGGTGATGATGATGATGATGGTGATGATGATGATGATGATGATGATGATGATGATGATGGTCATGATGATGACGATGATACGAGGAGGAGGGAGGCGGCAGCGGGAGGAGGAAGGAACGCGGGGCGCTGTCGCTTCAAAACGAGGACCCAACAACACAGGACGGTTCGGAATTATTGTGGGACGCCCTACATCCGCTTTTGCGCTCTCGCTTAGGCGCTGGCTGGACATCCTTGGGATATCGAGCTCACGCTGGGGCGTTGCGGGGTTGCGGTGGAAGCGGTCCCCCAACAACAACAACACCAGCAACAACAATAACAACATCATCAACAACAACCACAATACCGCCCCCGTTGGATATTTTTTTCTTTTCGGGACCGGGGCTCTTGATCGCCGCTGAAAGCCGGCATTCCAACAAAACCCGCGTTCCCGCTCGATACTTGGTTGTTTTTTACTCAGGACTGGCGTTCCCGCCTCGGCGCCGCAAGCGGCCCCCCCCCTGCAAACAACAACGCTCCAGTTCGATACCTCCTCCGTTTTTACTCAAGACTCCCAGAGGCCCCGGGGCTTCCCTGGTCCCTAGCGCCGATCCTCAAGAATGCACCATGCGCTGTCGGAGGTGTGCGCTGGAGCCTCCCTGGCGCGTTCCGCGTGCCAGGGACGGCCCGCGAACACACGGCGGCGACCCCGTCGCCCTCGTTGTTGTCGTCGTCGTCGTCGTCGTCGTTTTCATCCGCCTCCTCCTCCTCGTCCTCCGCCTCCCCCCTCGTCTTCCCTCCTTCCTCCTCCTCCTATTGCTCTCTGCTCTTTCCTCCTGCCTCGGTGTTCAGACGCTCCTCCAGTCCATGCCTTTTCAAAATGCCTTGAGGCCTCTTCCAAGATGGCCCGAACTCCGCCAGCTCATTTGTTTGAAGCGCCTCGCAGGGGCCGTCATGTTTTCCACATGGTTTCGGGAGTTTCCTTGAGAAGCTCTGGGGATTTTCCAACGGGCCTCAGAGGCTGCCCAAGGCGCTCCAGGTGCTCTTCCAGAGATCGGGGGTCCTCTCCCATAGGTGTTGGGCCACTCGGGCGTGGTAATACGCAGAAGCAAGGCATGGACAGGGCGATTGCGAAGGCGATGTGCCATCCTGGCTGGAGATGTTGAAGTGCCTCGGAAGAGGTGT